AAGGCTTTTTAATTTTATCTGTTACAAGCTAAATGCCCGTCATATGACGAAAAAAATTGATTAATTTTTATACTCAAAGTTATATATAAATACATCTTTTATGAAAATGTTTTATAAAAATTCATTATAATCAAGTAACAATATATGTATGGGTAACTACTATCATATTTCTAGTATTTCACGAAAATAATAGTTTATTGTGTATTTGGTCATCTCCTTTAAATATTGCTTGATTAGTATTTTGACTTCTCCATATTTTGAAGTTATGTTCAAATGTTCTTCTTGATAAATCCTTATAGATTGAAACAGGCCTAAAACTGATTTTCAAAGACATATACCTACTTGCATGATCAACTAACTGTATGAACCCTGCAAATTATTAATTGTGATGGTAAAGGCAGTGAATTTTATTATGAATTTCGGAGTCCTCTCTCTGGACTGTCTTCCTGGTTTTGGCTTTGTTGAGCTGAAGAAGCGCGCTTTAATTTGGGCATTTTTAAAATTTAAATATGCTGCGGGTAAAATATGCAGGTTATTGTAGAGCTGCAGCCATGGGTTTCGACTAGACAAACGTTTGTAATGTTGCATCATTGTGTCTCCTTGACAACCAAGAAGATGTAATGGGAATTTCTGCCAATGATTATGATTATTGTGCGCCATCCCACCCTTAAATCTAATTATATGCCCAAAGTAGCGCATCGTCCGTTACATATAGATATATATATATGGCTGGCAAATAAATAAAAAAACCTGCTTGTCGCGGCAGAAAGAGCCGTCGTTTCGTACAAGCTGCTTGTCAATCGGTACCGCAACGGCCCAGATGTCAGCGTGACAGACGAACGGCTTTTTGTCTTTACATATTACATGAAAATATAAGTGTGAGGATGTCAAGTTCAACAGTAAAGGGCGAATAGGAATATACACACCATTTACATCACACACATATGACGAAAAATATTATATAAAAATGTGCATTGTATGTTGTTTTGTTTTTGTTTCTGTACTGCTGTAGAACGCAGTTATAAGTATATAAATGGTAATATTTAATAGGTTACCGGCCGTTTTCTGGACGGGGCTTTAAAACTGATTTTTGTTTCAGATACTGTTTAGAGAAAGTTTTAAGGCATCACATTATAGGTAACTCTATATCTTAGGATGAAATGGATGTTATATTGTTGACTGGGTAATGAAATTTGAGATAATCACTTGTTTTTAAAAAACAAGACTCCAATTCTTCAAAAACAATAATTGAGAAATAATCTTAAATATTTTGCATAAAAACAAGTACATCACCAATTCTATATAGTTAATAGCTTTTATGAGTTGCATAATTATCAGGTAGAAGGCTGTATTACTAATAGATTCATATTAACGATTGATGTATGATTCTGGATCATTCAGTTGATACAAACAGAAATTTGATTAAAAAACCAAACAAGCGGAAAAACAGATATTGCATTATGAACCCAATACATCGACATATTGTTTGTATTGAAATTACATAAAACGTTTTTATACTAATAAGAATAAGAGTTAATCATTAATTCGGTTTATATCTACGAGAACGTCGAACAATTTGAATTTTAACAACATTTTTTGATTAATTCGTCGACACGTAAGACAGTTTAAAGGAATTACAATTAAAATATATATCATTATCTATATCTTGTAAATACGGTGCAATAGCAACATACCTATACATACGCAACAAATTATTCAGTATCGCTGTCAGATAATTCTCCACCAACTTCATCTTCTTCACTAAAGTCATCCATGTTTTCACAACTTTCAGAACTGTCTTCACATAAACAAGCAAGTGTGAAATTCAGTCCCATCTTAACACATCTGCACAATTTAGAAACATACTTATCACGTCATCAGTTCCACTATTTCCCTTGGTGCCGACTCTTAAGTCATGAGTTCTGGTGTGAGACCATTTTCTGATCTTCTCCATCCATGTCTACATGATCTGTCAAATTGTGTTCTTGCTATTAGCGATATTTCCCAGACAATAGTTTGGTAGTTTGCTCTCTTAATATGCTGAAGAAAGCTATCTTTGCAAAATGGCAAACTTTGATTTTGTACTGGTTTCTAACAAAACCTTTCATATCATAAAATATTAATCTCTTCAATGTCACTGTTCAGCTGGTATAGTATACAAACAATTTTTCACAGACATTTATTACTTCATCAGTGTACTTAAAGGATTCACCTAGTTTTGATAAAGGTAATTATTTTTTCTTGTTGTATTTATTTATATGTAACGCTTTTTTCTTGCCTTTCCTCGTAAAGAAACTAATGCTATCACACCAGCTAAAGTATGGAAATGTATAAGTAGAGGCACATAGTTTCGCCACAATAGTTTGTACGGGAATAAATCAAGTATATTATTTTGTGCATGTCTTGACCACATTTGAATACCTAGTCTTTCACTAAAGTATGTTCCCAAAATCAGAACATCTGTATCGGGAGACCATCCACAAATTTCCCTGTTTGAAATATCTTTGATAGATTTCCCTCTTACATCTTCATTAAGTGATTGAGGGCCTATGATGTTTATATCTCTGTTTTCTTCCTGATATATGAGACTACCGAGAACATGAGTCGTTCCGTGTTCATGACCTTTGTAGCTATTGCAGATTCTATCCGACACACATAATCATAACTTATTGAATGACCTTGACTGTGAATCATGTCTATAACCTGTTTGAGTTCAGTCAAATGATTAACAAAAATAGCCAGGCCAATATGTTTTTTTTTTTTTACATATTGAATGTAAGGCAGAATATACAATGTCCTGTGCGATTTACAACACTCTTCTGTGGGAATCTGGTTCTCGTCGTACATGTTCGGCTGGCTTTCCTGTTATTAAAAGGCGCAAAAACATATATGAATTTTTCAGGAATTAAATATTCTGCTTTCTAATCGGAGATATCTTTACTATAAATGCATGGGCTTGTTGTAATTCCCTTTATCTTTTGTACAGATGGCCTAAGCTTTATAGAGCCGTTATCGAATATGCTCGCTCTTTTAACCGTGGGGAATTATAATGTGTCGGTCAATCCCACTATCTGTTAATAAATAGTAGCTCAAGAGTTAAGTGTGTGTTAGCTGCCTTCTCTCTGCTAACTTAGAGTAGTTTTCGCGAAATTCACAACAAATCAAACTTAAGCCTCATTGAATGATAGAAGTTCATCCAAATCTTCATCTGGAATTGTAAAATCTGCTTCTTTGACCTTTCGCTTTATATCTGACAGCTTATTGGTTGTTGTCTTTATGTCGACACTGCTACTATATTATAGATCTGATTGGTTCGCAACAGGCATCTTTTGTTCCTTCCTTCCAACAATTGTTCCTTCAAAGTAACTTTCAAGTCTAGATTTAAGTCTTTCTGTACGATGTGTTTCAAGGTCTTGGTATCCGCAATCAGCAAGTTAAGTTTTTTATATAAGTTCAGATGATATGTTATCTTCAAAGCTCCTCCTTGTAGAAAGATATCTTTGATTTCATTAATTAATTTTTCAAAAAAGCCTCGGCAAAAATGTTCATTCTTTCGGTTGGCTTATACTCGCTGGCAGCTCTCAAGATATATTGGCTAAGACAGTTTTTATGATAGTTTTTTCTATGATGCAATTATATCTTGGTCTCGAGCTTTAATAAGTAGCTCGGGGTCCTGTACAGCTTCTGCTGCATTCTGGATTTTGTTTTGTAGCATGAAAGTACTTATAATGTATAAAACTGAATCTATCTGTACATTTACATTAAATATGCCCTTAATACATACTGTTTGTGGATATAAATATAAGAAAAACATCAAAATCGGGCATAAACCAGTATCGTAGGCATTGAACAAGTCTCAAAATATGTGATATGTTATTTAAGGTTAAAACACGAGTGTGTATGTGTCATCATATAACTTTTATTAACGCCAAATTTACTTTGTATATTGAAAAAGAAGCACATAATGTGACTATTTACCAAAACAGTTATTTTCTCGAAAGTGAACTCTGAAGAAAAAAAATTTAACATCTGATTTATTAATGTCTAGGACATTACCTTTCACCAGAATATTTCGAGCCTTCTCTATATGTTATGTGAAACAGAACCCCTATTAGGTTTTTATGCCGGTAATCTATCATTTCGTATACAAAAAAAAAGGAAATTTTTCACAACTTAAATATGTTGATATGATAATGATTATAAAGTTTTAATGAAGTAATCTTAATTGAACTGAATTATGTAACTATGTGTCCTTAACTATCGTTGAACATATGTCTTGATACTACCTTTAAAAAAAAACTGTCACATGCTCGTAAAGATTCTTGGACAAAAATTTAGGACTTCTTCATATTATAGACTATTCTGATACATTAATGCAAACACAATAAAATTGTACAGTAATTTTTCTTTTGAAGGTTTGAGTCAACTTAAAAATTTGAACACCAGATGGCATTTATATAACACAGAAATATAAATGGAGAATTATATACTGTAACGGCAAACACATGCGTGATTATTTCACATTTTCTTCCTTTTGCATAATTTACTGAATAGCGGTAATAAGCTGAAATCAAGTACGTTTCTACACGCAACGATTTTTTTTATAGGAAATTGACATTTATAAATTAAAGACAAAAGAACATATTTATTCTAATTTCCTATTCATTCAGAATGTTATCATTTAGTAGAATCGACCGGTGGGTCTTAAAGGAAAGAAAAACAATACTTGTTTTCTATCTTTCACACGTTTACATTTCTAAAGTATTTTTGTTCTGGTTATTGTCTTGATTTGTTCGTTTAATCTCATATAAATATCAAATATTTCGGCTTTTATGTTAAGAATGACCATCAATAAATAAATATGAAGAAAAAGCAATTATAATACCAGTATGTATGCCTTTCTCAACAAGCGTCATCAGTCACGTCATTTAGATGTTATATCCCCTAGCGGTAGTTATCCATATCTTTTAAGGTCCAATAAGACCGTCTACAACGTTCCCGTGCGCGGCTGTATGTTGTGTGACTTGAGCTTAGGTGACGGTCTCTAGGTAACGTGCGCTTACACTGGGATTTCAGCGACACTGGTTGGTGTAGGATGACATCAGGAAGCCAGTGGAAACGACACTTCACATAAATTGTGTCATTTCATTAAATTTTGTAAAACATGAGTAACATGACACGTAAACCTGTGTTAAAGAGTTACTTATCCGTCCTTCTTGTCTTCGGCGGGTCTTTCATATTCCAAGGTAAGGCAAGAAACTTGGCTTAAAACGTCAGTCTGATTCATTATGTCATTCCAATTGCTTATTTATTCTCTGTTCTGCAATCAAAAGTGGCTTTACTACTTTGGAAATCTAGTTATTGTCTTTATATGATTTTAGCCTAATTGTTTCTCTTTCTGAACGTCTAACAGTTGTTTCGCAGTTTTTTTCCTATAAAGACTCCATACCACAAGTTCAAAATAATCTCAAACCATATTAAATTAGGACTAGCTAAGTACACTTTGGTGTCAGAAAAATATATTTGTCGATATAGATACTTAGAACTGTACAATTTCCACCAAATTATCATTTTGATTAATTGAGTGCACAGTGAAATTATATATTATATACAAATTACGATGTGGTTTCTTCTATTTCTTTTTTTTTTTACCAAATGCGGTTTTAATTAATTGTTTTCGTTGTTCACGTTCTATTGCTGTCATTGTTCGCGTTGTATTAACTGTAAATGTTGCAAATATTGTTCTGTTTCTAGGGAACGTAACAATAATACATTATTCATCAGTGTATATTGTATTTATATTCGCATTAGTACCTATTATAAGGCAATAATTCGAATACATTCTAGAACTAGTAGTAGACGTTCTATATCTAATTCCAGCTTTTGCTGCTACATCGTATAGGGATGTTAGTTCATATATTAAATTTGTTCTGCTTCTCACAAAAATGGAATATTAATATATCGTTATAAAGATTAATGAAAGACATAAATCATTCTGTTCTTTTTTACATGCTGAAGAAATGTAGTATTACTACTCTAACTACGTAAGACAAATATATTGTGATAATAAACTATTTCCTAAAATCTGAAATAGTGGTTCTGTTTTGTATATCTGTAAAGGTATTGTGTTGTTGATATTATTGTTGAAACTAAAGAGTTACTACGCTACTAAAACAGTTCATATTGGTTGAAAGCCTCGTCTATTCTCTTGTTTCTAAATCTCTAGAGGTATTGCGTCGTTCTGCTTGGTGAAATTAAAAAAGTATTGTGTTGTTGTTCTGTTTATCAACACTGAAGAGTTACTACCCTACTCTACAGCTCTTGCATCTGTAAAAATATTGTATTGTTGTTCTGTTGATCAACACTGAAGAGTTACTACACTACTCTATAGCTCTTGCATCTGTAAAAATATTGTATTGTTGTTCTGTTGATCAACACTGAAGAGTTACTACACTACTCTATAGCTCTTGCATCTGTAAAAATATTGTATTGTTGTTCTGTTGATCAACACTGAAGAGTTACTACACTACTCTATAGCTCTTGCATCTGTAGAGGTATTGTGTTATTGTTCTGTTTATCAACACTGAAGAGTTACTACACTACTCTACAGTTCATACTTGCCAAACAGCTTCATGTTACTCTTTTCTTTCTACATCTGTAGGGATATTGTGTTCTTCTCTTTATCAAAAATGGAAAGATACTACACTACCTAGCAGCTTGTACTCGCTGAAAACTTTGTGTTACACTCTACTTTTGATATATGTAGAAGTACTACAGGTTTCGTAGTTTCTAAAAGCTTCGTGTTACTCTCTTGTTTCTACATCTCTAGATGTATTGTGTTGTTGTTGTTCTGTTTGTCGAAACTGAAGAATTAATACACTAGTATACAGTTCGTACTCCCTGAAAAGATTTGTAGCACTCTCTTGTTTTTACATCTTCAGAGGTATTATACTGTTTATCAAAGCTGAAGAGTTACTACACTACTGTACTGTTCGTACTTGATGAAAAGTTCCGTGCAACAGTCTTCTTCATATACATATAAAGGCGTTATGTTGTTCTGCTTATCAGAACTGAAGAATTACTACACTGTTGTGTGGCTGAAAGTTTTGTGTTATGCTTTTATTTCTACATCTGTAGATTATGGTGTTGTTGTTGTTCTGTTTATTGAAAAAAGAGACTTACTACACAACTACATAGTTTGTAGTGGCCGAAAGCTTCGTGTTACCCTCTTGTTTCTATATCTGTAGATGTCTTGTTTTCTGTTTTGTTTATGGAAAATGAAGACTAAATACATTATTATTCAGTAAAAACTCGCTGAAAAGGGTTTTTGTTTCTCTCTTGTTTTTTATCTGTTTCTTTAGTGGTAGTGTATTGTTCTGTTAATCGATACTGGAGAGTTACAATACTAATATACAAATTTGTATTATTGAAATGATCCATGCTATTCTCTTGTTTATACATCTGTAGATGTTTTCTGCTTTTGTTATGTTTGTCGAATGTGAATAGTTATTAAATTATAATAGAATTTGTACTCGCTGAAAAACTTAGTTCTACTCTCTTCTTTCTTGATCTGTTGTTGTTCAGTTAATCAAAACTGGATACTTACTACACTACTACACAGTTCCTACTGACTGAAAGCTTCGTTATAATATCTTGTTTCTACATCTGTATAGATTTGTATTGTTGTTCGGTTAATCAAAACTGGATGTTTACTACACTACTACACAGTTCCTGAGAGCTACGACTAGCTTTCTTGTTTCTAAATCTCTAAAGCTATAGTGTTGTTTTGTTTATCGAAACTGAAGAGTTACTGTACTACTACACAGTTCGCACTTCCTAAAAACTTTCTGTTACTCTCTTGTTTCTATATTTAGAGATATTCTATTGTTTTTCTGTTTATTGAAATTGAAGACTTACTATGCCTTCAGACGGTTCATACTAGCTGAAAAGTTTCATGTTACTTTTATATTTCTATACCTGTACAGAGATTGTGTTGATCTGTTTTTCAAAAATGAAGAGTCGCTACACTACTGTACAGTTGGTACTCGTTTTAAAAAGCCTCGTTTCTACATCTGTAAGAAATACGGTGTTGTTGTTCTGTTTATTAAGCAAAAGAGCTAGTACACAACCTCACAACAAGCTTCTACTTGCTGGAAGTTTCGCGATATCCTTTTCATCTACACTTCTAGAGATTTTGTGTTGTTGTTCCTTTCATCGAAACTGAGAAGTATAAAGGATAAAATTAAAGAAAAACATAATAAATTCACGAAGTTTAGATTGAGTACTATGATGGAAGATTTAAAGAAATATAGAACATCAAGAGATTTGATTAAACGAGAAATTAGTCAATCAAAAACTATATGGCAAAGGTAAGGATTTCTTTAAACACATTAAGAGTAAACAAAATTTTAAACTACGACTAAGGCCTTTGAGACATCATACAAGAAAGCTCATGTCTGATTATGATTATGAGATGGTTGGGTTATTAAATTGCATTTTTTCTTCAATATTTGCCAATGAAGATTTAAGCATTATTCCTCATCCTGAAAGTTGACAGATGAAAACAAGGTTGAACAAGATGATTACATTAATTCTGAGCTTGTTGCGAAAAAATCGGAACGTTCAAGGAATGATAATGCTTCTTGGTCAAATCATATTTACCCAAGAATTTAGAAAGAGGTTAAGGACTGGACAGGTGAGCCAGTTGCTATTATTTTGTCTAAGTCCTAGAATAGTGGGTAGGAGTCAGAATATTGATCCAGTAATTATAGGCCTATTAGTATTACACTAGTGGTGAGAAAAGGCTTTGAAAGTCTGATATAAGATGCTTTTCAAAGCCATTTAACAAAGCTGAAAATTTTGTTGGATAGTCAACATCGTTTTACTAGAGGAAAATCTTGCTCAACTAATCTTTTGACAGTCTTTGAAGAGGTTAATGCATATGTAGATGAAAGAACGTGTGTAGATTTGGTGTATCTGGATTTTCAGAAAGCATATGACGAGGTGCCACATACAAGGCTTGTTAAAAAAGGTTATCTCTGTGAGTGTGTGGGGGATAGGTTGACTCATTGGATAGAAAACTAGCTGGATGGGGGAAAAAGCAGAGGGTTGTTATAAATATAATTCAGTTAAACAATAAATTGTAACAAGTGGAGTACCTCAGGGCTCAGTGTTAGAGCCTCTGCCCTTTGGAATTTATATCAATGACGTTGATGAAGCAGTGGTCCATAAATTATTTAAATTTATTGGTGATTCTAAGGTTTTGAGTGTTGCTGGCTGCGAAGAGGATGTTGCTGATTTACAAAGGGATTTCTATTATTTGGCAGGTTAGGAGAATATATGACTGCTTGCTGTTATTATAATAAATGCAAGGTAATGCATGTGGGATATCATAATTTGAATTATGAGTATAATATTCATGGGAATAACTTTAACAGTGTAATGTAAGAAAAAGGTCAGGTGTTTTAGTTGATTAGTCACTTAAGCCATCGCAGCAATGAGTTGTTAGTAGTGGAAGGGCAAGTGGGCTTTTAGGTTGTATTTGCAGAAATACTGAATATAAGTATAAAACTTTTATAATCTCATTGTATAGGTCATTGATTAGGCCACATTTCCAGTACCGTCTTCAGTTATTGGTGACTTATCTTAAGAAGAAATTTAATTTTTAGAAGGGGTTTAGAGGAAGTCTTCTAGAATGATAGGTTGAAAGGTTATCATATAAGGAGAGGTTAAGATTTCTGGAATTATTTTTTTTCTTGCAAAAAAAAAGCGTTAGAGGATCTGATTGGGATAATTAACATTGTTAAAGGAATTAAAAGTTTGATTCATCATACTTCATAACTAGAATGATAATATTAGGAGATACAGATAGAAAGAAGGTGGTTAGCCTTTGGAATAGGTGTGGATGCGGTTGTGGGTGTTTAAGAGACGACGTGATAAATATTTGAATGATGAAATTTGGATTAGAATGTTTTATTTTTATTCTAAAGTTTAGTTTAGTAATTAGGACGGCTTAGGTGGGCCAACAGGTCTCTTGTTGTCCTTAAATGTATTTAAATACTAGACAGTTGGTACTGGCTGAAAGCTTCGTGTTACTGTATTGTTTTTATATCTGTAGAGGTGATATGTTGTTGTGTTTGTCCAAACTAAGGAGTTACTATACCATTATACAATTCTTACTTGCTGGAATGCGTGGTTGTACTTTCAGTGTTCTCTGTATGTAGAGACATTATGTTCATCGAAACTT